TAAATCATATATGGTTATGAGTACTTAATATATATCTTTTACATAATATTTTTAATGCAACTCTATTTTGTTGTACACATATATTAATTAAATTATTTTTGATTAAATTTATCACATTCTTAGAAATTATTCCAAATATGTCTGTTTGAATACTTCGGTATTGAAATTACTGTACTACTGCTCTTACTAAATAGCGACATAATATTTAATACGTGTATTAATTTAAAAAAAAATAATGAATATATAATTTTAAGTTTGACGCGGTCATTATTTATAAGCATAGTTTGTAAATCACGGTAAAAATCAATCTTACCACATTATATTTTTATTGAGTTCCCGATATTTCCGCAGCATATCCACGGGTAAATCATACCTAAAGTAAACAAGAGGGTAAACAGAGTTTACCCGTGATCATGATTTACCCGTGGATTCAACCCTCCACGGGTTGCCACTGCCGAAATATCGGGAACTCAATAAAAATAAAACGTAAAAATAAACCATTAGCGCAGGGTGCACCATTCCATTGTCATCCACTAAAAAACAACACAATTTTATGTGTACACTATTTTATATGTATAACACACTATACATAATAATAATAACAATAATATCTCAGGTCAATTCACACAGCGCCGTCTAGTACCAAGCTAAGTAGAGCTTGTGGTTATGGGTACTAAACAACTGATATAAATACATGGATACATTTTTTTTGTAACTAAATACATATTATACATAGAAAACATGCAGACCGATACAATCATAGTCATGAACCATCGACAACTCTATAACGAGTAAAGGAAATAAAAACGTAGATATTTATCAGACAAGTGCTAAATGTATTCACGAGGAAGAGCCACAAATTAAGTGTTAAGAGAGCGAAACAATATAACAAATAATTCAGTGAGATTGCAAAAAGTTCTCACTCGGTTGCGAGCAGTATAGTCTAGTAAGATTTTAAATTAATCATCATAAATGGAATTTGACGTTTGGAGTTTAGACCACTGTTAAACTAACGGCATCGCAGGTCTAACTTAACTTTAGACCATACACGAATCACGGTTTAGAGATAAAATTCGTTTTGTAATAAGGAATACTTTGGTCAATGGTCTATTACTAGTGTTAAACCAGGTTTATCTTTTTGTAATAAGAATTAAGACCAGTTTTTAGCGCATAATAAAAAAATAAAAAATGAACAGGACCTGTTTTGTGCAGAATTTATTTCTCTACAACTTTTATTTAAAACATTTTTTTCATATTTCTTACCGACATCGAATTATTTTGAAAAAAGCATTTTTCAACTTTTAATTTTGTCATCCTTTTTTTAATATTATTATTCACGTATTTGTGGAGTTTTTTTTATATATTACACCAAAAACTGGTCACATCATGTTTAATTCAAAATTTTACTACACAGAAGTTTTAAATACAGACAGACGGACAGACAGCGACAGCGACTTTGTTTTATATTGTATAATGAAATAGATTGTGCGAAAGGCGAACTTAATACTAGAAGCATACTCTACCAGCTAACCTTTGTGGTAACACTTCAGAATGCGATAGTGAAGGCACTTCATTATTACATAGTATAAAACAAAGTCACTGTCGCTGTCTGTCGCTATGTATGCTTAAATCTTTAAAACTACACAACGCATTTTAACGCGGTTTCTTTTAATAGATATGGTGATTCAAGATGAAGGTTTATACATATATATATAATAAATGTACATCCGTGCGAAGCCGGGACGAGTAGTTTGTTAGTTATAATTTACTATAGAACCTGAAACCTCTTAACTTGATTTTTAACACAAGTTGTGTTTTTATTTTATTCAGTCTTCCATCAAGAAGCCAACAAACACTACCACATCTCCACATTTCTATAATCAATTTATATCAAAATACAGTGGAAATATCCCCCAATCTAGCATCACTGTTTGTGATGAACAAAAACTTTAAGTTGGGCTAAAAAGGACTTGTATCCAGAGCCGTAAAAAATACTATAAAAAAAAAAATAACAAAAATCCAGAGTCACCGAGTGATCACCTTACTACAATTATTTTACATCGTATTCAATATGGATGATAGTAATAGAAATATAAATGATCTTTATACTAATAAAGCACTTTTAAAGTATTTTTTATTATACCGTTACGTTCGTAATACAGATTTTTTCAAGAGGCACGCGCGATACGCTTTATACTCTTGACCTAGTTATAAAACTTAACATATTTGTGTATGACTACAAACCAAAAAACATGATATATTATACGTACTGTATGTGTGTATGTGTAGTAAGTATTTTAGTAGGTACCTGTTTATTTTAATCAGGGATGTTAGGGAGCTCCGTAACCGTAACCGAAACTATCGGATATCCGATATAAAAAGATATTCGTAACCGAATCCGAAAAAAAAGTTCCGGATAATATCGGATAGGGGCGGAGCCTAATTGAGACACGTTATGTCACAATTTTATTAGCTATTTGAATTTAACTTTTGAAATTTCTTAAAAAATAAATATCCGTAACCGAAATTATCCGCAACTAACGGATAATCCGAAATAATTTCATATCCGCATCCGTATCCGTATCTGGTATAATAATCATTCCTATATCCGAAACCTATCCGTATTCGAAATACGTTAGATTTTTTAATGTTAGGTAAAATTACGGATAACAATTACCCACTGTTGTCAATTAACCGCTTTCTGTTCTTACCTAAATGCCATATGGCATTAACTCGCTCGACAAATTATAATAAAAAAAAGATAAATACATACAATTAGAATTAAATAACAGAACAAATGAGTATGAGGTTAAAATCATTTGTTTTATTATTTAATTCTATACAAAGAGACCCTACCAATCGCATACGTAAAAAACCATAAATAAAAGTAGCCTAAGTTACTCCTTATTACATCAGTAAGGACTAAAGAGTAACTTAGGCTACTTTTGTTTTATAAAAATATAGTCAAATTCCACGCGGACGAAATCACTGAAACCTTATGTAGATTATAGATAGACATAGATATACTCTTTAGTGTATAGTAGTTTATTTTGTTCCCACGTCTTCGGGTGTCGGTTATCAAAAAAAAAAAAAGTGAACAGTGAGAAACATTTGCTAGTGTCTAATATCCGGTGGATTCAATTTCCCAAGTTCGTAACTGAAGCGGCAATTTCCCCGAGCTAATCCGCTGTCGTTCCATCGGATGCCAATAATATGAGTGGTATGACGTACTACTCCCAAACAATAACCAATTGGCATAAAACTTGGAATTTTTAGTAATTGACTAGTAACCCCATTGCTATTAGGTACTATATCAGGTTGACCTCCGCCCGGTTCCCTTAGGAACAATCGTGTTGATAAATTTCTGTTAATTTTACTATGATGACGAACTACCTAAAGGTAATATATATATATATATAAAAACATGATAATATAACTGACCTGACCTCATCATCTCTGTTCAAGCTATCATCCTTCACTGGTGTCTCGCCAGCGTACGTAAACTCTTAACGCATATTGATAACTTTAGTAATGTGGATTGATTTTCTTATTGCCAGCAATGTACCATGTCGGGTTGACCTCCATGCGGTTCCCCCTGGAAACCATCGTGATAAATTCATGGTGAACTTGTCACGATGGGCTGACTGACCTGACCTCATGTTCATCTTATCATCTGCTGTCCCGCCAGCGTAAACCGTTAGCGCAGGCGGGTGCACCATTCCATTATCATAAAAAAAAACCTATTTGATTGGGAGGACGGGAATTGTTAGTAATGAGAACTAGTAACCCTCATTGCTAGCATTGTACCATGTTAGGTCACCTCCATGTGGTTCCTCCTGGAAACCATCGTGATAAATTCTTGGTGAACTTGTCACGATGGGCTGACTGACCTGACCTCATGTTCATCTTATCATCTGCTGTCCCGCCAGCGTAAACCGTTAGCGCAGGCGGGTGCACCATTCCATTATCATAATAAAAAACCTATTTGATTGGGAGGACGGGAATTGTTAGTAATGAGAACTAGTAACCCTCATTGCTAGCATCGTACCCTGTTAGGTTGACATCCACGCGGTTCCTGGACACCATCGTGATAAATTCCTAGTGAATTTGTCACGTTGGGCCAACTGACCTGACCTCATACGTCATCTCATCATCCTCAACTGGTGCCGCGCCAGCGTAAACCGTTAGCGCAGGCACCATTCCATTATCATCCCAAAAAAACCTATTCCATTATCACCTATTAAAAAATTGGCATATCCGATGCCAACAGGTAGGTACAAGAGATAATTGATGCGTTTTCTTTAAAGCTAGCGAGATCAAAATTATTACTACCTAAGATTTATGAAGACCTGCAGACGTAAAATTTTTAATTGAAAGTGGTTTTTACGTAGATGGTTATAATGTTGAAATATAAATAACTACATTTATTATATAGATAATAAAATATATTAAAACAACCATACACAACGAATCATATTTATACAAATATCTGTATTGCGAGAATCGAACCCGTTCCAATCGGAAGAAACCATCGCGTTAAACCGCTCCACCACCCACGTCAAACAAGACTTTTAAGGACAATGCAGATAACAAAGCATGAGTGATGTCATTTCATCTAATTTTAAAAATTTATAATATGTTTTGATCCGTGTATATGATTCATGAGTACGATAAAAAGTAGCTTCTTCATTCATAATATCAATCATATGTCCAATATTATGATCATTGGTTTTAGCGTCGTAGCCTAAAGTTCGAATCTGGCCGGTATCATAAAGCTAATTTGAGATAAACTACTTCCCCATTACTTCACTGATGCCAAATTGAGTTTCTTCCCAGTTCTTCTCAATTGGATCTATATACAGAACTGGACGGTAGGGAAAAAATTAAAATTATAATGTAAAAATTTGACGTTCATAATCGGCTAAAATGTCCTATTATACATGAATAAATGATTTTGAATTTGAATTTAATTATCAATATAATAATAAAGCAATACTCACTTAACACCTTCAATTTTCGGATACGAGCATATCCTGAGAGTTTTCGTATTAGAGCCGACGGCGTACAGTTTGCCATTGGGGTGGAACTCTGCGCAGCGGACGGCCTGCAGGTCCTCCAGTACTGTGACCGGCTTGAACGTGGGCCTGGAGCCGTTTATATCGTTCCCCACTCCGATGCCACTGGGGCTCGTTATTGGGACACCTTGGTGACTGCCGTTTCTGTTTTGTGGCTGTAAAGATAAACAGCCTGAGTATACTAATTCATAACTATCAAAACAATTAAAAAAAATATTATTAAAGTGTATATAATATAGCAATGCATCATGTCAGTTTAACATCCATGAGGATAGAAATCGAAACAGAAATGATATTTCTTCAAATAAACTTAATATAAGCACTTTTGAATAGTCACAGTTTTTTATTCTACCGCTCATTCGAAAATGAGACTCATCACAAGAAACTGGTGTGTTATAATTACATTTTTAGATTAGATAAATATTGTTTTAATTACTTTTACATTAACAAGGATTAGGCAAGCGACAATCAATATAGAAACCGCTATAGACCTGAATACACCTGGAAGAGATCATGATAAATTCCTAGTGGATTTGCCACGATGTGCTAACTGACCTAACCTCATGGTCATAATAGTGCACAATACAGTTATCATTAAAAAAAACATGTGTGTATTCTGTTCATGAAATCTGTATGATTTTGGAATGTCTTTATATAAAAATTATATATAATATAAAAATGTTACGTAATTTTAATATATAATATAAAAATTACGTGTCACGTTATTTGTCCGCGAATGTTAGCTTCAATACATAAAGAACACTCAGATGACTAATTTGTTACTTACTTAAATTTAAAACCATAACGAGTCACGTGATGTTGATAGATAGATATAGATAAAGAGGCCGGGAACAAGGAGGGAGCGGGCTGCTCTCTCTCTGTTCGAGGTGACCGAGACGACCAGACGTGAATGTACAGCGACGCAATTTATGAAATTTGCTAAAGGAATAAAATAAAAGTACAGCTGCATCGACATATCATTTCTGAAACTTCCCTATACGATGGACTCCTAAACTACTGAACCGATTGCAAATTTGTTTTACACATTATGTGCAATTCGATCCAACAAAAATAGCTTAAATCTCAATTTATAGTCGCAATATTATTTTATTCAAGAACCTTAGCTACAGCAACGCGCGGCCGGGCCTACTAAATATATAAATCACTTTAAGCAAAAAAAATAAACTATACACAAAGAGTTTTTATAACGTTCCATAAAACAAATATAGAGAGTTGAAAAGAAAAAGATAAATTCATCAATAATACTCAATAAGCATAAAACCTTAAGAATTCTTAAAAGAAATGTGTTATATATAGAATAAGTGGGCAAGAGCTCCACCGGCAAGAGTGACTCTTCAATTATGAGTGAATACTAGATCGTCCATTCTTTTGCTGTTTTATAAACTAGAAAACCGTAGAGAGCAATCTGATAGTAAAATTAGATGACCTACATGTTATATTTCAGTCACCTATGTTCAATCTTCAAATATGTAAAGCCATCGTCACGAAATGTAGTAAGACAAGCTGATAATCTATGGATTTAGATAAGATATTCATCTCAAAAATCTATTAACACGGCCGTACTGCGTACCAAGACAATTTTAGGACATCATCATTGCTTGTATCCCATTATTTGGAGTCAGCATAGTCTGTCATTCTCTTCCACAGATCTTTATCTGCCGTCATATTCAAATTCAAAATATCTATTCATGTAGGTCTGTTACAGTCTCTTATGATATGTGAAATCTACCGTCAGTTCGGAATAATTTCGAGATGAGAAGAACTGACAAGAAAATCAGCTAGTATTTTTTTTTTAAATGTCATACATACTTAAAATAATATAGATTCATTTAAATTCAAAATTGCCAGAATAGAGTGACCACCAGTATATACCATTGAAAAACAAAAAATCTAATCAGTGTTCGCAACCTGAACAGACCAGTCCCCACAAGCAGCATCCGTTCACATGTATGACGGATGAGCCAGCCATCATTGCACTCAACCATATTCGAGGGAGCACATCGACCCGGCCCACCACGCCGCCACAAGTTTGAACTTTATAGCGAGCATGACTGTTTCAAGTTACTCCACTACGTCATTTATTTTAATTACAGTTTTCACCAATTACAACATTTTATTTACAATAAGTTTCTTTAGTGTTTGTTTAAATCTGAGCCCTGATACTCTGATACTGATACTCTTTTATTCATATCATCTTTCACACAATCCATCCACCTTTTTTTAGGGCGTCCACTTTCCATCCATCCACGTTCATATTAATGTATGCAGTACGGAAAATACAATTTCAAGATTATAGAACACAAATAGAACACGGTAGCACTCATGCATACACCGCGTCGAATACAATAGAAACGGTCTTCAGTCAAATAAACTTAATGTAAGTACTTTTAAATAGTCATATTTTAATATTGTACAGCTTCATTCGCACAGAGACGAGCTGGGAAGAAAGTCAGCTGTAGCTTTTTCAAACAATGTAGAATTTTACAAGTTTCAGGTTTTGTTTGAATACTACAAACTATCAAATAACAATGTGTTTGTTGTTTGTTGTTTTGTATTAAGTCGTGTCGGTGTCTGTACATGAGCGCGTCTGAGACTCGGCGGCTGTTTTTCTATTGTCAACTTTAATAGGTGTACAATACTCATCGAGACGTACAGACTTACGACTGTAGACTTAGGACAACTTTGTCTCATAAACATCGTATATTTAAAAGTAAATTCGTGTGAACGCAGACAAAATCTTATTTCTATGTCGCATCTCTCTACTAAAAAACGAAACAAAACTTACAATACAAGCTTCTTAGAGGATGATTTACTCTGCACTGCACTATATTATAATAGAAATAAATAGTAGTAAATAACCCTGGACAATTAACACAGCGCCACCTAGTCGCACGGTACGCAGAACTTGTGTTATGCGTACTAGATAACCGTTATAAATACTTCGATTTCTTTTGTAAATACATACATAATATATCTAGTAAACACCCAAACAATCATACTCATGAATACAAATGTTTGCACCGTGCGAGGAATCGAACCCGCGAACATTGGAAGTGAAGCGCAACGCAACGCGCTCAACCGCTAGACCACCGAGGCCGCCTAGTATGATTACAAATGCTGTAGTAGATGCATTATATACATACAAGTTGACTGAGCGGATGATGGAAAGCGTTCCGCTATTGGACATAAACAATATGAACATCGCATAATAGATTGCAGTGTAGTCACGTTATCCTTCATGAGATGACAGACTTGACTATTAAACTGTTCGCGTCTATGTAGCAGGTTGCTTGAGCATAGCCCGTAGCACAATGGATCACAGCATAATAATTACACCAGTCTACACTACCAGGCAACCTAAATTGTGCTTTAACGTAATTAGTGCCAGTTGGTAGTTTGTATTCACACGTATCGAAAAATGTGAACTTACAAGGATTATTTAAAAGAACAACACACAAGTTTTTTGCACGTTCTTCTTGTGATGAGACAGCTTTCCGAATGAGCGGTAGATTAAAAAAAAATTTATGACTATTCAAAAGTGCTTAAATTAAGTTTATTTGAATAAAGGTTATTCTATTCTATTCTAAAATTGTAACAGCATATGCTAGTTCAAACTAACAAAATTATAAAAATAGATCTGTATCTTTGTAATAATGTACAATGTCATTTAAAAACACTTACAGTTGAGTTTCCTGTTATTTGTTTTCGACACAAAACTACATTCTGTAGATTTGACCTATCATTGCTTTCTGTAAAAGATCTACATGAACTATCTTTTGATTACTTTTGGTAAATCATTATAATAGTACCTACCTATTATTTATAAATCTATCATAGGACCTGACATCTTGTATGGATCTGAATGTTGGGCTGTAAAGGGTACGAACGACAGGCGTGTACATGTGGCAGAAATGCGAATGTTAAGATGGATGTGTGCTGACCTCAGGAATGACAGAATAACGAATGTCTATATACGAGGAAGTTTGAAAGTTGCGTAAAGTAAAAAAGTTGTGAAGTAACAGATTGAGCTGGTATGGACATACTATGCGGAGGAATGAGGATCATGTCTTATGGAAGTGTATAATATGAACGTGGATGGATGTAAAGGGAGGGGACGCCGTAAGAAAACATGGATGGATTGTGTGAAAGATGATATGAATAAAAGAAGAGTATGCTCAGATATGACGGCCGATAGAAAGCAGTGAAAGAGAATAACATACTGCGCCGACCACAAATAATGGGATAAAGGCAAGGCAATGTCGATTAGAAGAGTATTGTAGGAACATTTCTGTGCCACATACCCGTATCTTTGCATCTATATATTATATATATTCTATCACGAGTGGACGAGCGGTATCGGTATCAAGTAATCAAGAAGGTTCAGCGATATTAGAGTACCTATTTATATTAACCACAATGACAAATAAGAGCACAGCTAGTCCATTTCATTACATAGTAAAGTAATGACCCGCCTCGTCTTCGCACAGCTGCAAAGTTGATACTAAATATATTTAATTACCTAAATTTATCAATGTTTCTCTACAATACTATGCATGTATTATACAAATAAACCTTCCTCTAGAATCACTATATCTATTATAAAAACCGCTTCAAAATACATAGCATACATAGGGACAGACAGCGACAGCGACTTTATGTTATACTATGTAAAGATCACGTGTACTAGAATGAATTATCTTACTAATATAATAAACAAGAAATTTTGTGAGGATTTGATGGATACATAAACATTTGTTTGTTACTCTTTCAGGCAAAAACTACTGATGTAACTGTACAGTAATGATAATGATAATGTAAGCTTATATATCAGAACAACAAGTAAGGTCAAATACGCGGGCACAGCTACTCTGTAATAAATTTCACAAAATGTAATATTCAAATATAATTCTTCAAAGTATCAAATTCATATTCCATTTAAATATATTTTAACGAATGCAACGAACAATAAATTCTTTAACAATAGATCCAGTTGAATTGTCCAATTTATAATTTTACATTCAATATAGTTTAATAATATTTCAGATAAATATAATACGTAGAAATTACGAATACAACTATGACATTTGTTTCCTTTGTACTTGTGATTCTATTTAGAAATATGAATATTTAATGC